TCCCTTGCTTGGTTGGTGAGAACATGCATGGAATAACTTAACTGAAAACGAATTTTATGGTTGGTGCAACACCTAGATTCGTATTGGATTTTTGTTGACGTCAGTGTTGTTTTTCTTTATTATAAAGTCAGTTGATTAATCATACCTTTTTTTATAGATGTTTATTCCTAAATAAGACAAAACAGTCAATGGACCGTGTGCCATTAAAAAGTGTGCAGTGAATAAACTATGATATCTTTTGCGTTCCACTTCAGTCACAGTTGTATTTTCAGAGTCAGACTTACAATGCAATATGATTTATTAGTGTTATTCATAATGAACTTTAACAGCAAATACGTTATCTTTCCAACTCAAAATACTTTTATTTTAGAGAGCAACAGTAGTTGCAGGTTGAAAAACCAAAATCATCAATAAGAGTTATGTTATTCCTGCCAAAAGACTACTTCGTCTTTTGGCAGGAATAACAGTGATATTAAAGCAAGTTTTACACGGCAGTAAGGCCAGAAACTACAACGGACACACAGGAATTATTGAATTTAGGTGAAAAATGTTCATAAAAGTTGAAACTAAAATGTTCATATTTTGAAATATTTCTCGTTGTAAATCGACCACATTTCGTTCCTCATAGTATTACTTATATCGTGTTCAAATTTTCAACGTTTTCTCTCGTAACTTAACACCGAGTCGCAACGGGTGACGCTTTCATGAATGAATCGTTGACTTTTTCTCGAGACGTGAGCTTAGGCCACTTGTAAACTGACGAAGAAAAACGCTGACAAACATAACAAAATACATTAACGAGAAAAAAATATAGAACGAAATAAACAAATACGAATAACACGAAAAATAATTAGCAAGCGCTTATATCTTACATAGCCTTAAGTGGAGGCTAAGTTAGGTAGACAAAGGCGATCATCACTCCAGGTTTTCGATGCAGAAAGTTGCACCATTTTTTCTTGCTGGGAAGAAAAACGTTTCTTTTGTTCGTGTCTGCCCTGTAACCCTTAGGGCCGTATTTGCAGACAGAATTCTTTTTTAAATTCTACAGAAGAGTAGAAGGAGTATTCTCTTAGAGATAAAAACTAAACTGACCGAGCGAAGAGGAATCTGGAAAAAGAACCCTCGAATTAGTTAGACCTTTACTGAAACTAAACCATGACGAGCTTTGCGTCGGAAAAAAATTTTATGCAAATTAGCTGGCTGCACATTGAATGTGCAGCCAGCTAATTTGCATAAGTAATTCAAGCCAAGGTTCGACGCCTGTTGGTGGCATGAAGGTCTACGTAAGGTTACCTCCGACAACCCCTTCTTTAAACAGGTCATGGTTTTTAACTTTTAAAGTCCAGAAACTGTGTTGATTAGATAATCCAGGGAATACACATTGCTTCCAACTGATGGTCTCCTCGTTCGGCTTCAAGCTTCGGCGCAATGCAATTATTCTTATAATGACCTTTTATGTGCGAAG